AGGACCTCTGAACTTGAAGATGGGCTGTTTTAAATAAAAAAAAAAAACAAAAAAAAAAAAAAAAAGAAAAGAAAAGAAAAAAAAATCAAAGGCATTGAAGAAAATCTGAGAGAGATATCAGACAACCTTAAGCTCTCAAATATCCGAGTCATGGGTATCCCAGAAGGGGAGGAAAAAGGAGATTGCATTGAAAACATATTCAACAAAATAGTGGTGGAAAACTTCCCAGATTTAGGAAAAATCACAGATCTTCAGATCCAGGAAGCTCAATGATCTCCAAACGTATTCAACCCAAAAAGGTCCTCTCCAAGACATGTTATAGTCAAATTGGCAAAATTCAAAGACAAAGAGAGAATCTTAAGAGCTGCAAGAGAGAAGCGTCAAATCACTTATAAGGGAGCCCCAATTAGGCTAACATCAGACTTTTCATCACAAACCCTAAAAGCCAGAAAGGAATGGGATGATATATTCAAAATACTAAAAGCCAGAGATTGTCAACCAAGAATACTCTACCCCGAACAGCTATCCTTCCAAAATGAAGGGGAAATAGTATATTTCTCAGGCAAACAGAAACTGTGGGAGTTCACCACCACACGACCACCCTTACAAGAAATTCTCAAGGGAGTACTAGGTTTGGTTCCTGAAAAATAACCACCACTCCCATAAAAACCCAAGAAAAATCTAAACCCACTAGTATAATAAAAATGGCATTCATGAAGAGAATACAAAGAATTGACATCTTTACAACATTCTAGGACCATGGTATCTCATGCCACATATTTATATCTTCTTAACATCATTGAGAAGAGTTTGTGTTTTCATCACACAGATCTTACACATCTTTTTAAAAGTTTATTCCTAGGTATTTTACACTTTTATTGCTGTTGTGAATGGGACTGTTCTTCCATTTCCTAATTAATTATTGGGGGTACATAGGAAAGCTATTGAGATTTGTGTACTGATCACTTGATTTTGTACCTAGCCACCTTACTGAATTCTATTACTTCCAATAAAGATTTAGTTGTTTCTCTTGGGCTTTTTAGATTTTCCATCATTTCATATGCAAATAATGATAGTTTTATCTCTTCCTTTCCAATCCTTATACCCTGTTTACTTTTCTTATTGCATTTATTGGGACCTCAAATCAACAATGATGAATGGTAGCTGTCATAATAGGTGTCCTACACTTGTTCTTGACTTTAAAACCATGCTGTTGTTTAGGTTTCTGGGAGATACTTTTATCAAGTTACAGATGTTTCCTTTTTTTCCTACTGCATGCAAGACCCTAAGCTAGGTACTGTAGAAGAATGAAAGAACTATTGAACAGGATAGAGTTCATGTTCCCCAAAAAGTTATCTCACCAGGTAGATAAGACTTTGAATGAATAAAGATTTGAAGATAGTGATCACTGTGATGGATAATCATGATCCTGTTTTTTTCCAAAACAGATTTATTCTCACAGAAAAGTATCAGAAGGATCCCCAAGGTAAGTATTAATCTGGCAATTTTTAAAGTAAAATTTTAGAACTAGAGAAGAACTTAACATTTATCTATTTCAATTCCCTCAATTGCAGTGAGAAAACTGCCAGAGGCAGGAGGAATACTTCCTTAACCCAGGGCTCTGCGTGACCCCAGCAACATTAGTTCCCCAGGCAGAGCTGAGTTAGCAGTGACTAGTAAGGATGCACCTGCTGGCCTGCCAAAAAAGGGTGGAGGGGAGAGGCTTTGGTGGTGCCTGTTCCTTCTGCTGGGGAGTGGGCACCAGGCCAGGCCAGAGGCCTTCTTGGAGGCTCTGGAGAGGGGGTAGGGAAGGCCACATGATATCGAGGTAATTCAAGGCTCACAGAAGGTAGAATACATGAGTCCTTCCTCTAAAGTGGCAGGAAAACTTACCTTCTTATCCTACTGGATTTGGGGCCCCACTCTCTACTCCTTTTATACAAACCTCATAGAGCTTAACTAGAAGAGACCTCAGACAGTTTTGTCTCTTCCTTTTATTATAAGGAAACAGAGAAGGAGAAAGGGAAAATATCTTGCCCCATGGTCACACTGTAGTGAGTATCAGAGGAGGCTGATTCTTTTCCTAGTGGGGGATTTCTCCATTGATTTTACTGTGCTTGGGCTGTGAGCTACATTTTATGTCACGAATCAATACACACATATATAGACACAGGTAGTTTCTGAAATGACGCACTCTGATTTTTTAATATTCTGTTTGTACTCAGAAAGAATATCTTGTGTTTTAGTGCTAGTCATGTCCCTTAAACTGGTTCAACCACCCACTCACTCATCAGTGACAGCCTGCAGTATTAAAATCAATGGGGTAGATAACCTGGCTAGTTGAACCCAGGCATTTGCTTGATGTGATTCAACTTCTAGAATAAAGCAGCTAGGAAAACAGAGGCACCTCATCCACCACCCCCCAGCAGATGATGCTTGTGAGACAGTCTGAAAGGGACTGATGTAAAATGCTTCCGGAGACAGCAGACGCTTCTGCCCAGTGTGGCTGTGCACTTTGTTCACTGCACTAGGGCACTTGGTCAAGGGAGTATATGGGGCTGAAAGTCCTGCCTGTACTCCATGCTGCATACACAGTTCTCCCCAGAAACATTGTGAGTACCTTTTGGACAGACAAGGAGAGTTTCTGGAAGCCCAGCATGCGTGAAACTTTTTTGAAGGTCTCTGGTCTGTGGTGATTTACTTGTTGTGATTATGGACTGAGTTGTACATTTAGTCCTAATAAGACCAGAGATGTACATTGTGAGAGACATGGAAAATGGCATGGCTAATTGTCTTGTGCATGTGTTTTCTCCCAAGGGGCTTTTTCGGATTTCTGCTGAGGAGAGGCTCCGAGAAACATCAGTCTCAGGTAAATTTGAGAAGGATTCACTGTTGTGCCCAGAGATAGCAGGGGAAATGCAGAATTAATATTTCCCCTTTTATTTTCTAGAAGGGCCTTTTCCATTTAAGGAAGCCTCTTTGGCTTAGGGATATGTACAAACGGCTGAGTGTGACCCGCCAGAAAAACATGGCCAAAAAGCTGCATGAAAAGAAGTCTTCAGACGAGTATGTAATATACAAGAATAGAGGGCAAATGATTGGGAACAACTTAAAATTTGTATCTACAATGAGGAGATAATGAAAGTTTTATTTTTATTTTATTTTTTTGATGGCTGGTCAGTAAGGGAATCTGAATCCAGGACCTCGGTGATATGAGGCTGCGCTCTGAGCAGCTGAGTTAACTGGCCAGCCTGTTAGTTGCTGTTTTCAAGAGTAAAAGCCTTGACATTGTTCTTCTTATCCTAGGGCACTCCGTGAATCAGCCCGAACAGAGGACTCCGTGTTCATAGATATGCCTGACAAGGGAGAGGAAAGCTAGGTGCCCGAGGGGAACACAGAGTGACCCCGTCCTGCCTCAGGCCACCTGCAAATCTTATTTTCTCACCTTTCAGCACTGCGTATAAAATACTTTTCTTATTAAAACATAAAATTCGTAACCAATTCTAGCTATATGGTAAGAAACTAAAATGTAAATAGTTAAATATTCATATATAAATAACCAGGGCCATGGGCAAGAAAAGCAGGATCGAAGGTGGGATCTCTCATGGGAGCCAGTGGTCCCACAAGAGGCAATGCAGGCAAAGGACGAACAGGGCTTCTCTCCTTCGTTTCCCAATATAATCAGTTTCTTGGAACCTTAAAAATATGTCATCCTCAAGGCGTGTAGATTTTTAAATCAAATACCAGTTGCTTTGTGCTCTCTCCCCTGGTTTATCAAGAACTAGTCACTTACAACATACTTGACCTGCCCACAGGTCATCCACCTTCTGGCCCCCCTCTTCGGTCTTTGAGGTTGTCAGAGTATTTGGATCACTGAGCCTACCTGCACTGTAGGGCCACGTCCTTTCTTTTCTCCCAAGCCCTCAGACTGATGCATGAATGTGTGTCCTGCCTTGGTAAGGAGTTCTCCACCCTTACAAACTAGAGGAAAATTCACATTGGTTTTCTGTTTCTCATTTTAAAAATCCCAACCCTTGTATAGCTAGCAGGGAGGTGCTGGAGGGATAGGATAAAGAATGTGTGAAAGTAGTGATTTCCCAAGATTGCCCTCTGCGGGCCTTTATTTCAGAAAAAATAAGGGTAGGGTGACATCTCCGGTCACATGCAGTGCCCTCACCTCTCCTGACCCCATGTGGGTCATGTGTGTGTTGCCTGGCTCCCTCCAGCTCCGCCAGCACCACACCCCTGTCTCATCCCATGCAGACCCATGGCTGCATGATTCCAAGTGACAACACAAGTACAATTTGCAGAAGATGAAAGGCTTCCCCAACTCCATCTTCAAAGAAAAAGCCACTAAATAAATCACATTTAGTAAGTCAGTGAAAGTTAAACACATTAGTAAAAGAAAATCTGAATGAACTAGAATCCACCTATCTAAACACAAATCACTGTTGGCAGTTCAGTAACATGGATGGAGAATGGTGCCAGCCACAGGAGAATGGCGTGGAGCCCCCAAGGAGCAGCAAGACACACTGGGGACAGCCCATCAGTTCCTCATCTGGTTGATCAGCTTGCTGATGCTGGGCAAGACACCTGTTCTCTTGATACCTGCCCAAACTACCCCCCAAAGTGACTTACTGAGGATGAAAAACATAGTATTTAAATGGTGACTTCAGTGAGCCAGGAAATATTTACTGAGTTTAAAGCACAGGACTAAATAGTAATAATAATTGGAAGCGAAAGCAGCAGCAGCAGCAGCAGCAGCTACCATTACTTGCCCTCATTACTGAACAAACCAGTGCCTGGGAGTATCTCTTTCTGACCAATTTGATGCATTGGCCAAACTGACCAAATCACAGCCTAAGGGCAGAGGGCTGAAGGCTGAATGGAAATCCTTGTCTTTAGGTAACCTATCTTAAATTTGCAATTTTTAAAAATAAATTCTCATTTATCACCAATAAGATGATCTGGAAAGGGCAGGATCTCCTCATGAGATACGAGGTGCTCGGTTTCCCTGGGTTCAGGTTTCAGGCCACTCCCTTGGGTCTCAAACCACTCCCCTAGGACTCAAGCCCCTCCTCTGAGATCTGAGCTACCGGTTGCTTGTTGCACCTATTTTCAGCACAAGCACATGGAGATAGACTGCAGGGGGCAGATTTATGTAATTCCAGGGATTGAGCATGCTCGGTAGAATGACCTTCCACTGCAAGCGCTAGAGAGCACCTAGCATATTTTAAGTGTATTTGGTGGAATTTGATCAGTGAGCATGTTAGGAAGAGACCACTGAGCACGTGCAAGTCTATGTTACATAACCTGTTACATAACTGGGAGCCCCTCCCTTAGATAAATATTCATTAGATAGTGTGAATATGTATAGATAGCCAAACTATAAGAGTTAAATCCAGGAAGAAGGCAGGGCTGCTGCTCACTCTCTCTGGGGCCAGCCCACACTTCACCTGTGAGGTGTGTATTTCATGCTTTTTCTGTTAAACCTGCCTTTAGCAGGCTGCTGCTCACTGTCTCAAGCAAGCCTGCACTTTGTCTGTGAAGTATGTATTCGTTACTTTTGTATCAAACTTGCTGCAGCTGCCGCTCACTCTCTGGAGCCCGCCCACACTTTCCCTGTGAAGTGTGTATTTCTTATTCTTCACATTAAACCTGTTTTCACTTTCTGTTCAAACTGTGCTCTCGAATTCTTTTCTACGGCAGAGTCAAGAACCTGAGGAGGACAGGGTGGGCTGAGGTCAGCTATCCGACCTCCCCAAACCCTCTCCTCTGGTATCACTCGGAGTCTGCTTCTGCTATAACTTTTTCTCAACCTGAGGCCTATCTTTCCAAACAGTGTCCATTCATTTCAAACTGAGAAAAATCAATGAAATAGCTGTCCTCTGCACTCCTTCCCAACCCATGATCCTTGCCCACCTACCAGGATGGCGGCCCACGGGTCCAGTCCATTCTCCACCACTGAGAGCATTTCCACTCATGCAGCAGCTCCTGAGTCGAATCACACACCTGCAGGGACAGATGGCGGCCAGATGAGCCAGCTTTCAACTCACTCCCTAGCCAGACTCCCCTCCCAGTGTTACAGTGAGCAGGACTGAAGCCACGATGGGAACTAAAACAGCAAGGGCTATGGGCATATTTTAAAAGGACACAGTTTTCTTCTTGGCATGCATTTCTCTGAGTTCCCTCTTTTCTCATGGTTATTTGTTATATATATATATTTTTGAACAGGAAGTAGGATTTATTAGCAGGCATGAGTAAGGAGGAGGTGGCACAGTGGAAGCCCTCAGGAGAGCAAGGCCTGCCTCTTGTCCAGGGGGACACGGTTGGGGATGCAGTTAATCCCACAACTATCTGGGATCAGCCTCTTTTCAATGACCATGTCTTCAGATTCATCCACATGAAACTTGGTAAAGCCCCACTTCTTTGAGAGATGGATCTGGCAACCAGGGAACTTGAACTTATTAGCCCTGCATAAGGCCTCAATCACATGCTCCTTGTTCTGGAGCTTGGTGTGGATGGACATGATGACTTGGCCAGTGTGAACCCTGCCCACTGTGGACTGTGGCTTTCTAAAAGCACTCCACATATCTGTTGGGATTCTAGATCGGGGACAGCACTAGGTCAGACACATGAACGTCCATTGGAAAGGGCTGTCTCCAAGGTCCCTTAGGGCAACCCATACAAGCAGCAGGCTGTGTACCCTACCAAGGCTACTGTTTGCAGCCATTATATGCTGGGCCCCCACAAAGAAAGGAGCACAGTTGGTTTAACTGGCTGCAGAAGTTATTTGATATTGTGAACCTTGGTTATGGGGCAAGATGACATTATTTACATAAATGTAAAGTTGTCTTCCGGCCAGCCTGAAGCTGCAGACGTGCCAGGAGGCATGTACTATCCAGACCCTGAGATAACAGCAAAGAGCGAGTCTTGGTGAGACCTTGCAGCTGGCTCCTTGCACGGAGCCGCCACAGCTCATGTCCCCCGCCCTCCCGCTTTTCATTTTCCATGTATCATTCCCTCAGCCCCCTCTTTAAAAACCCCTTGGTAAAATCTGAGTCTTTGAGATGACTTTAGTCTACACATTCTTCTTCGGGTTTACTGGAGAGATGGGTTAGCTTCACATCTCTCCTCAGCTCACTGGTATTCCTGAACAAAAGCTGACTGCCAAATTCACCAACATTTGACTTTTGAGGGTCTGCTTTTGAAAGGGAGCAGGCAGCCGGACCTGGGCCTGGTCACAGATGGGTCCAGAGTGGGTGGTGAGGGCAGTTTACTCACCAAAAGCAGCACAGAAAGCCAGGGCCCTGTGGGATCGGGAGGGCATGGGGTGCGAATGAAAGGCTGATTCAAATACAGAGCTGAGGGTGTGATGGGGACACTGCAGCTGAAGGTGCCAAGAACCTGCAGGGACCAGGAAGCAGGAGCTCACAATTCACATTCAGGGCCTGGGCCCTGCCACGGCCCCTCTGCCCCTCTACTCCTCTCCTGTCCCAGTCCCCCGTCTACCAGCTCAGCAGTGAAAATACAACTGGAATAGCTTCAAAAGGGGAGGACCCTCCTGCCTCACTTGTCCTTCAGGCTGTGAGGGTCTTGCCTGAGCATCACGGAGACATATCAACATGGGACCACTGAGGGTTCTAATCGCAATTTGCCATTAACCAATGGTAAATAAAAATTATAGGAGGCTGCTGTTTTGGACTCAGTTCCTGCACTAGGCCCCAACAGACAAGACTAAAATTCAAAATGGAGTCACCCCTGGTAAATTCCATGTCAGTTAGGTTGTGTTCTACATTCTGAGAAATCAGGAGAAAGAGGTAACAGGCAATTTCCTGAACAGGACAGTTTAAATCTGCAAGAGGTGTGATACTGAAGCTCATTTTGCTTTAATCCTGACACAAAAGAGACAGCCAGAAGTATCCTGATGTAAACAAGTCATTTTTCTATTGTTCTTCCTGTCCCCACCTTACAAGAAAAGTAACTTTGAAATGACTGAGCTGCTTTCTTGTTGTTTTGCTGTCTTCAGCCCTCTTCTGTCTATAACATCAGCCCATTTTGCTCAGCTCACTGGGACACTTATTTCATTTTAGGGAATGAAGTGCTGCTGCAATAGAGCTCCTTAACTAAATCTGTTGTCATTGTGTCCTTTGACACCAGCTAGGCATGCTAGGACTCAGTACCAGACCTCTTGGATGGAGGGTAAGAATGTGTAAAAGGCCTAGCACATGGCCTGACACACACCAGGGACAAACGGTATCTGTAACTCCACATTGCCACTGCCTAAATGAGTGTGCAAGAGTAGAAGTCAGTAGTTGTTAAGTCCCTCGGGGCAGCTGGCTTCCTCAAGGGGCTGTGTGGGGTGCGAGCCTGAGGGGGCTGCTGGTTGGCCTGGCCCCACCCCAGCAACTTGGGAAGACCTGGGCTGGGCAGCTACATTTACATTTAAACAAATATCCAGCTCCTGCTGACCATCAGGGGACAAAAAACGAACTCAACATGGTTATGGCTGTCTCTGCTCTCAAATAATTATGGCTCGAAGAAGTTAACACAACCAAGAAATATCCTCAATGGAGAGAAATGCCCTCACCAGTGAACATCCACAATCCTAAAATTCACATTTGTCTCCTTCCTTCCAGTTCCTTCCACCCACCTTTCTTATTTTACCTATTTTACCTTAGAGACATTTGGACAGCTAAGATTTAGTGCCTCCTTTTTTTTTTTTCAAGATGCCAAACCATTTTATTAGTGATAAAGAGATCTCTTCAAGAACTATTGTTCTTGTGTAGTTCATACACATATATTTTTAAAACATCTACAAGAAAATAAGCATGCCAAATTCTAATACTGTCCGAGCTCAGCAGTATTAGGTGGGAAAATCTAACAAATGTGAATTTAATTTTCAGCTTCTATTTGGTTTCAAATGTGTGCAGTGGCTTTTAATATATTAACGACCAGGGGAAATTTTGAGGGGAGGAGAACTAAATTCCATGTGTTTTGGGCTTGGATTTCTTAAGCCAAGAGTCCATGAACCCTTTCTATGGAGGGTTATGTGTCCTGTAGCTGTGTGCATTTCTTAAAAACCAGAGTCTCCGGGGGCCTACTTGGGGGCTTCGGAGGTGAAGTGTGCTGGTGCAGAGGGGCCAACAAACCCCACCTGCTCAGCGCACCCTGGCTACGTCTGCAGTGGAACAAGCAAGTGGACTGGAACAGAGTGTGAGCGTCATGCTTTGGATGCTAGGGGCTGGCAATACACGGTGGTCTCCAACCCTAGGATGTGGTGGCCTGTTTCCCAAGGACAAGGAAAGGCTTTCACAGTAGTATAACTGTTTAGCTACCTCATCCTGACCCACCTATGTGTTCACATGGGTCAAGGTTACCATTCCAGAGTTTCCCTGAGAATCCTAACCTCAGGACTACCATCTCCTAAGGGGAGCAGGAGCCAGCCTGACCTGGCTGCTCACAAGTACCTGCCCCAGTGCTTGGCTTTCTGGAAGCTCTGGAGTGGGCGCAATTGTCTTTCAGAGCATCACAGTGGTGGGGTGCCATGAACGCAGGTGAGGGCTGGGCAAGTAGGGCTGGAGATGTCCTGTTCCGTGTTCCAAGCCAGGCGGGAGCTTGCAGGGATCCATTAGACTGTTTGGGCTGGTCATAGTCCTTAGGGCTGTGCAAAAGCCCCACTTGAAACACACCTGAGGAAGCCGCACAGGTCAAGGGCAGGGGTGCTTGTCACTCATCCTTCTCCTCTTGAGGCAGAGGGAGGTGCCAGTCTGCAGGGGGGCTCTGCCTGGGGGCCCACACCAGTGCATGTTTCCGTGCAGCCTGGACTCGAGCCCGCTCACTCTCACAGAGGGATCGCTGTGCAAATGAGACTCTAGTCACTTCCCACCTCACAGCTGGGCCCCAGGGCCTGGAGCACCCTCACATGGCCCCTGTACCTCCCTCCCTCAGCACCGCCCCCTTCCAAACACAGATGGACAAATGGGAGTGTTCAATACGCACTGCTGTGCAGCTCAGCTCAGCTGTTTTCACCTAATATACCTGATGATTATTCCATATCAGCACACACAGATCTAGATCATTCTTTCTCAAAATCTACTGTGAAAAACTACTGGGTAGATACCATAATCTGAGGAATTTTAAAACATCATCTCCTGGTCCTCAGGGTTGGATGGCTTCGGTTGACCTACTGAGCCTGGAGCAGGTTCAACTGCTGAGAATGAGGCTGGGAGGGCTGAGTGGAGAGGAGAGACAAGAGTCTGAAAGAGTAGCTGTGGACAGCTACAGGGAGCAGCATGGTCAGCAGATAGGAAGATGAGGCAAGAGAGGGTGCCGTAGAAGGGCAGGAGTCAGACAATAGAATACTGGCATGGGGCTGTGCGCAACAGGTGCCACTAAATCCAGCAGCTTCTCTTGGCCACTGTCCCCCAAAACAGACAGGGCAGTGTATCACAACAGGGCTGACCTCTGCTGTGGGCCCTTGGAAAATGTCGGGTGCTATTCAGGCCTCTTAACATTTAATCTGTCTACTTGTCTATCTTTGTTCATGCTCTATTGTCTCAAATAAAAAATTTTTTTCCCCTTGTTTAAAAAGTGATCAGAGGGC